GGGGGTTTTTTTTTTTTTTTTTTTTTTTTGACGTGTATAATTTTTTGCGTAGCACGCCATCTTAATTCACGTAATAGGGTATTAGTAACAAATGTTTCACGTATTTAAGGGTAAATGATAATATGGAAAGGGCGTAGTACGTATTAAGCCTTAACAAAGGAATCCTTAAAGCACATCATAAATTAAATTAAAGAACATATACATATTGTCTGTCTCTTATTCGTATAAGTGGTAAATAGTTATACTGGTAAATAAAATCATTTACTTACCCAAAAACAAAGAAACTATGTTGCATGCAACAAACGACAGTAAAACCAACAACCTAAGATATATGAAAAATTACCCTATTATCTTTGCTATATATAAGCATGAACGACGGAGGTTGCATAAATATTGTTGCAATCAATCGCAGATTACAATAATTACATATTCGATTTAACATATGAATAAATATTCAAGTATATATTTCATATTAATTTGTTCTAATAATAGAAATGCGTATTACGCTTATATCATAGGATTCAACTGAATCTAACGTTTTTAGTGTGGGACTCTATGTAAAAAATATAGTAACAAATTTATATAAATAAAATTAAATATACATTTCATAAATCAATTGAATGCATCACTTATTGCAAGGTGATATATACTCTTGGCATTAGCAAGTTTTAGGAAAAGAAATTCATGTCGAAAGTAGTAGTAGGTGACAAAATGATATCTAATAATGTTAATTAATTAATTATTTATTCTTATATACAAAACGTTTAACGTTTCTTGAGGAAGTGAGAAAGGGGGTGTAGCTTGGCGGGGTGATCAAGTCTTGAAAACCCTAAATTTAACATAAGGCGGCAAACAGAAAAAGAAAATCTTCTAAAGTGCCCATATTGACCCCACCCTAGAAATAACAAAAAACATTTTAATGGCGGGTCGATTGTGGGATAAACATTTTCGTAACCAAGGGTAACTTAGTCATTTCAAGAATCCCTCGCGCCTAGGGTTTTCGTAAGCCCTCTTATAAACCCCACATTTTATATCTCCTGAGATCAGCCACTACTCTCTTTCAGTGTCGGTCTCTCTCTATATCTTTCCCGCAGTCTCTCTTCAAGTCGGTTTACTAAACCCCTTAATTTCTACTAATTTCCTGCTAAACATTTCATTTTTTGAGTTCTTGAGCGGGTCTAATCAGTTGTTCGTCTAGTTGAAATCAAGAGTCAAGTGTGATTCAGCTGATTTATCTACGATTTCTTGTTCTGGGTTTTGCTTAGTTTTTGGTATTAGTAGTTTTAGGTGTGATCATTGAAGCTGAGGCGATCAAGGTTGTTCTGTTGGATGTTCTTTTCACTTGGTCTTTGTAGTTAATTAGTTGATCAAAGTGATGGATCTAAGTGATAAAGTGAGTGATCAAGATCCACCCTTGAACCATTTTACCTTTGATCATACTCTCTCTCTCTCTCTATATATATACTAATGTCTGATTCTTTTTTGGTATAGGGTTGGGGATCTGAGGATATGATGAGCCAAGCAGAAAGCCAACTAAAAACATGTGCTGATTGTGGTACCACAAAAACCCCTCTTTGGCGTGGTGGCCCTGCTGGCCCTAAGGTCAGTAAGATATATATTTTTGAATTAGATATTTTTATTATATTTTTGAAAAGATTGTAATGATTGATTTTATGAATGCAGTCATTGTGTAATGCTTGTGGGATCAGGAGCAGGAAGAAGAGAAGAGCACTTCTGGGATTGAACAAAGAAGACAAGAAATTGAAGAAATCATCTGAAAATAAAAACCAGTACTGCAGTAACAGTAGTACGAGCAGCAGTGGAGATAGTACCAGCAGCAGCAGCAGTAATGGTTGTTTATTAAAGAAGAAGTTTTTGCCTTTTGGTAGACAAGTAGTAGCATTGCAGAGACCAAGATCAAGATCAAGATCAAGTTCAACTCACAAACTTGGTGAAGTAGAACAAGCTGCTTTCTTATTGATGGCTCTCTCTTGCGGCTCTGTTTATGCATGAATCAAACAGGAATGTTGTACTAGGGGCTGTCATGGTTGTACCTTTTTTGGTTGGTGAGATGAGATGAGTGGGTGGGTGGGTAGGTGTATGAACAGAATGATAAAAAAAAGAGCCTATTCAAGTTGGCTCTCCTTTGAATTGAAAGTGGTCTATCCTTTTAAATTAATTAAATTTATTTTAGTTTAATGAAACTTATTGTTATGCTTTATCATGTCATGATTCATGAGAATTCTTCAAAATTGATTGAAATCTGATATGCATAAATTTTGATCAAGATAAATTTATGCAATCATCAAGTAAATTTCGAACATTTGATGTTTAAACCGTTTGGACATATTTGTAAAATCAGTTTGAAGTACCCGTTAAAATCATGGCTACCGTTGTATGATGATTGTCTACAAACATTTGACTCAAAAAATTTCCTATAATTTAATACTAGTAAAATCTGGTTGATGAGATGATGTTGACACAACACACAAATAAGATATGCAATTCTGATTTTTGTGAGGCAGAATTGGTGTCCTGTAAGTATTTTGGAGGCATCCCATGTATTTTATTCAGTATTCTTAAATCATTTCTCTTTTTGGACTCTGGTGAACCTGGCCTGATTTTCCAGCTCATAATTGAGAACTTTGTGTTCCTTTGAAAGACCTTTGCCTTTTACCTTTTACACTTTGCTTCACTTAGACCTTTTTTTTAAGAAACAGTTTGTAAAAAGAGAAAAATGTCGAGATGTTGTGTTTAGATAGGGATGGAATGAATACATCAGTCATCTATAAATAAATCAGCTGTTTATTTCCAAGATACAAGAAAAGCTTAGGAAGAACTATTTAACAAGTCATTTTGATTCCAAACGCATCTAAGTATTTGTTATCAATTGCAAGTTAGAAAGTATAGATTCAACAATATGATTAGGATTTAAATAATATACGCAATTAACCTGTTATAGTAGATTAGTTGGGATTTTTACCAAGCAATTAATAATGATCATGAGATGTGCCTGCGATTACCTAATAAGTGATTGCGACTTGATTAGTGCATAGAACTTTAACTCAAATATTTATCCTTCAAAAGTAAAACAAGAGAGGAGAAAACAGGGGTAATAGAATAGTAAATGACTAAATGGAGATGAAGAAAAACAAATTCATTTTCAGCTACTCTATCACTCCCTCTAACTCTGTTCAAAAAGATTGTCCTAGTTTGATTTGATACAAGCTTTAATAAAGAAGGGAAAACTTTAGAGATACGTGATCTTAAATAATCTGTAGCATTTGTGTGTCACTTTTACAGATGTACGGGGTCGAGTAGTTTCTTGGTCCTCCGCCGGTACCTTAGGCAAGCGAAAGACATAGGCTTGAAATTCAAGTTAAGGTACTCCTAAACCTGGAGTTCCACCTAAAGAAGCAGGGGTCGCGGTAGCTGCCGATGTCGACTTAGTTAGAAATACCAACTCTAAATAGCTTTAGCATTTCTTGAGTTGAAAAGATATTTATAGATTCTAGAGCTCAGGGGAAGGTTTGGAACCCTAGTAGCAGAATGGAATCAATTTACCGGAGATTGTTCCTTTTAATCGTAATCAAAGATGTTTTCTTGTCTCGATATAGAAGGATCTCTTTATTTCTTCACCGCGGGTTCTCGCATCATTTTCTTGAAAAGATATTATATCACCGCGGGAGAGTTTAAAATGAGTAATGTTAACCATTCCATTATTCACACAAACCCTTTCAGAGAAACCCTGGAATTAACAAAAAAGGGCAATCCTGAGCCAAATCCTGTTTTCCGAAAACAAACAAAGGTTCAGAAAAAAAGGATAGGTGCAGAGACTTCCCGGTTGTCCAGTTCAATCCGTTGTTCTTCTGTCCTCCCCGTGTCCACTAGCGCTCCTGTCCAGAGCGAAGAGAAGGCGAAAAAGCGCCGCCGAAGCAGATAAGAAGCACCCCTCAATCGATAGGTCAAAGACAGAAAGATAGTACCAGTGACATCTCGAAAAATGCAAGAACTTTACTTTCTTCATTTCAGCTTTGAGATGAGCCTACCGGTGACCACCTCTTGCCTCTACGGGAAGTGGGTGGGGATCAAGAGAAGCAAGGTCAGGCACATCATACTCTTTAGGGATTGTGTCATGTCTTGGGCATGCAACCCAAAAAGATAGAAAGACCGCTCGCTCGAAGAAAACTCTCTTAGAGCCTGGTACCAGCCAAGCCTNTGGAGATTCCGTAACTATTCCAAAAATGGAAAGTTCGACACAATTGGGATTTTTTTTGGAAATTGGAAGCAGTTACTAATTCATAATCTGGCATGTACAGAATGAAAACTTCATTCTCGATTCTACGAGAATTTTTATGAAAGCCTTTCATTTTCTTCTCTTCGATGGAACCATCCGTCAGATTGACATCCAGCCAGGTGAGCGATAGCGGCTCCTGTTTACTAATAGATCTGTCGCCGCTAGTATAACAAAAAAAAGCACATAAGGATCCAGAATATTAAAATATACTGATCACTGATCAGGATCATATAAAGCCCGGTATTCCCAGAAAGGATAGTTGTAATGTCCCTTCATGGCCGGCCTTTTCAGTATGGAGCCGAAGGCGACACCGAACAAAGGGAACCCTGGCTTCACTTGTCGTAGTAAGACCACCCCTCTATAAGCTTTCCCTATTGCTCTGATGAACCTCTTTTCGCTTGTTCTCTGTGACGATATCGTCGCCGAGGATAGCGTAGCGTGTAAAAGGAACTCCTGGATATACTTGGGCTGCTACGAACCAAATCACTGCAGCTTTAAAACTTTTGAAACTTGTACTATTAAACTTGCCAGAACATTTGTGTGGCTGTAAATGCTTCATATTAAGGAAATATTGAAAAGTTCCTGATATGTGGCGATAATACCATATTTTAATACATTAATTACCTTACATTTTATGTGCTTTAATGTTAAACTACACTTTATTTGCACGTAATGTAGTCTATTTATGTGTAGGTGAATTGGAGATGAGAGTAGAGCAAAAGGAATATGTAAAGTATAAAGAGTGCTCGAAAATAGCTGGAAAGACGAAAGAAAGAATTGAGTAGCGGAAGAAATGAAGCAGCAGGCGAAGCGAGCCTTTTAGCTCGCGTGGAAGCTAGCGAGGCGAGCCCCTGAGCTTGTGTGGGAGTAGGCGACGCGAGGGATAAGGCGAGCTCGAGCTCGCGTAGAGGCTGGCGTCGCGTGGCCTGGGGCGAGGTCCATCTCGCGTGGAGCCTCGCGAGGCATGGTCTGAGGCGTGCTTACTCTAGATTTTGAAGGCTTATTTCATCTCCTAGTTTGACTAGGACTTGGCCTATGTCGTTTAGGTCTTTCCTTACACATATAAATAGACATAAAATACCACCTTTGAAGGAGTTTTGCAACCGAAGGCAAAAATAGCTCATGGAACACCCGTTCGGAGTTAGAATCATTGATTTCTACATTCCTTCATCTTTACTTTGTAACTTAATTATGCAAAATATTTGCGATATTGTTACTATGAGTATGAGTAGTTAAACTCCTAATCTCAGGTTTTGATGGAACCGTGGAGGATGATTTTTCTATTACGTTAATATAGATTTGTCGCAGTATTTTCTCTATTTGTTCAACTACGTTATTATTGTAGTTGGTTGAAGAGCTGTCAATCGACTGTGCCTATTTAGTGTGTATTACCCAGGAGAGAGTGTATATTTAGGTAGTTGTTGAATAACATCACTCCTAACGTATATGAGGGATCAATATGGAGGGTTTAAAAGGTGAGATTAGGAATAATGAAATCTTGGTGCAATCCGAGTGAGCCGTACTTAAGGCCAGCTAGCGTAATTCGGGAAAATATATCTAGTAATTGTAGTAGCTAATCGGGAGAGAATTATAACACTCAAAGAGCTCATGTTTGGTAGTGAAGACTTAGGCAAATTTATAAAAAACGTGGCGGAAAGGATTCCGACAATAGGGGAAATCATAACCTTAGATCATTCCAATTCTTGTCCACAAATCGTTCATAGTTAATTATTAATTATTGCATTTCATTACGTGATATTTAGTTTGTAAACATTCAATTTGTTACTTAAATATTGCTTAAGATTTATTTCGTGAATTTGTGCGAGTCTAGTAGCTGTGTTTAATAGGTTAATTCCCTGTGGGATTCGACTCCAGACTTATTAACCAGAATATATTTGCAACGTCCGCTTAGTCTTTTTTATAAGGCATAGTTGGTCATGATCAAATTTTGGCGCCGTTGTCGGGGAATTAACGTTGTTATTAATTGCAGCTAAATGAAGTGCTAGAATTCTTAGTGTAGTCAATTTTCTTCATTTTAAACTAAATACATTAAAATTCTAATATTTGTAGTCTTGGGTGTTACAGGTGCATGCCTAGAAACTCCTCAAGAACTGGTGAATTTTCGAAGCATTATCGAATCCTAAAAAAGTTTTCAAGGCACTGAATCGTGCAAACAAGAAGGGAAAACAACAACAGAACTCAACAGAACAAATTGAACCAGACATGGATGATAGACTAAAAGATCCAAACAACAGAAACAATGCGAGTGAGCCGAACAATCAGGGTGTGGTGCCTCTTGTACCAAAATCAGCATTGTATGATTGGGCACCCCACCGCTGTAAATCTGCCAACCGTAGTTGCAGTCCCTCATATACAAGCAGAATCATTTCAAATCACAAACAACATGCTACATTTATTGCAGAACAAGGGACTGTTCTCAGGATTTTATATTGAATACCCTTAGTAGCATCTGAAAAATTTCTTGTTGATATGTGTCACGCAAAGGCATCCAAATGTGACAACAAAAGCAATAAGGCTATTGTTTTTTCCATTCTCGATGACGAGAGAGGCTTAGACTTGGCTCAATTCACTTCCCATAAACTCCATCACTACTTGAGAGGAATTAGTCAAGCAGTTTTTGAATAAGTTCTACCCACCCAATAAGACTGCCAAACAAGTTGACGAGATATTAAGCTTCAGGCAAAGATCAATAGAAACACTACAAGAAACGTGGGAGAGGTTAGTATGCTGGTCAAGTGTCCATATCATGGCATTCCAGATCAGATGTAGGGGCAGAGGTTCTACATGGGATTGGCAAATAACTTAAAGGCCAATGTTGATGCTTCAGCAGGTGGAGCGTTTTTGAGCAAATCATTCAGATAATGCAAGATCCTACTTGATAAAATGGCTCAAAACTCAGGATGGATGACAAGAGACTCTACGATCACTCCTGTCGTTCATTTAGTGACTTTGGACCCAAACAACTCCATAGCCAAAAATATGGCCACTCTGATGACGCAAATGAGTATCCTCACGAAAAAAGATTGATGAACTAGGCCAGAAGCAGAAGGTACACATAGTTGACGCGACTAATGGGGGCTTATGTACACCATGCATTAACCAACCATATGTATGCTCGTGGAATGTGGAAAATGACAACCAGAACTATCAGGAAAATATAAACTATGTGGCCAACTTTTGAGGACATAGGCAAGGTGGTCAGAATTGGGGACAATAGAATCAGCAATATAGACCAGCACAGTAGTAGTACAATAATAGCAACAATCCTGGTGCTATGCGACCACAGGGTCAAGTTGTGCCTTATCAAAGGTAATAGGGATACAATCAGCAAAATCAATAGCTAGCATATCAACAGCCTCAACAATAACAGATAGTACGACAAGATGATGGGTTGTTTGAAATTAAAGGAATGTTGCAACAACTTATTGGGGCCAGTGAGAAAATGGAAGAAAAGGTCCACCAAATGCAATAAAAGGTAGTATCGTATGACTCAGCTATCAAAAGTATTGAGATTCAACTAGGGCAGTTATCCATGGCTCTGAATAATCGTCCCCAAGGGACGTTGCTTGCAGACACTCATGTCAATCCAAAAAACCAGGGCCCAAAACAACTTATGGCAGTGAGTCTAAGAAATGGTAGAGACCTATATCTAGAGCAAGAAATTGCTCGCGAAAGCCGACCAACTGAAGCACTTGTGCCAGTACCCATTAAGGTTGATGATTCAACAAGGTTAACTGAGGTGAAGATACAACATGTACAAGAGAGCACAAGCAAAGAAAAAGAGGTTGCAAAGGAGGGACTCCTCGGTCTGTAGATGCGGTAGATATACGTCGAAGTCTCTGAAGATCGCCACTCAAATCACATGAAGGAAGCGACCTCTAGCACCCTTCCTATAGAGATTAGCCAAATATCATAAGGATGAGCAGTATAAGAAATTCATGGAGATGTTGAAGAAAATCCAGGTGAACATTCCATCGATTGACGCCTTGAAGGAGATGCCTGGTTATGAAAAAATGATGAAGGACTTGATGTCTATGTTCGATTTTCAAGACTTGGCCATTGTTACACTAACTCATACATGCAGTGTTGTCGTGGCGAGACCTATAGCTGAGAAGTTTTCCGACCCAGGGAGTTTTACAATCCCATGCACAATAGGTAACTATGTTTTTTCTAAAGCACTATGTGATTTGGGGGCGAGCATAAACTTGATTCCCCTGGCTGTCTATAAAAGGTTAGGCATTGGAAGAGCAAGAACCGCATCCATGTTACTACAGCTAGCTGACCGAACGGTGAAGAGGCAATCAGGTATACTTGATGATGTGCTGGTGCAGGTTGGAAAGTTTGTGTTTTCGAAAAATTTTGTCATTCTGGACTGCCGGGTGGACGAGGAAATTCCCATAATTTTGGGGAGGTCATTCTTGGCCACTAGGAGAGCTCTAATTGATTGTGAAACTGTAGAGCTAAAAATGAGATTGAACGATAAAGAAATAAGATTCAATGTGTAGAAGTCTATGCGACGACCAAGTGAATTTGCTAACTGCTCTCTGATAAAATCTACGGATGTGATTTTGGAGGAGGAAGACGAGGCTCTAAACGCAAAAGACCCTCTAGTAGTCTGCCTTACGAACTTAGAAGAAGTAGATGGTGAGGACTTAGCGTAGTATGTTTTTGGCCCTTGAAGGTCAAGGGTATTGGAAAAGAGAGCTCGAATTTGAGCCTTTACACTTAGAAGAAAGAAAGACCCATCCAGCTAAGCCATCAATTGAAGAGCCACCATAGTTGGAGCTAAAACTGCTCCCGTCTCACCTCAGGTATGCTTTCTTGGGACCTAACTCAACTTTACCTGTTATTATCTCATCTAGTTTGTTAGATGTGCAGGAAGAAGAACTTTTGCAGGTGTTGATGGAGTGAAACATGGAAATTGGTTGGACCATTGCAGATATTAAGGGTATAAAGCCCAGCATTTTGTATGCATAAGATTTTACTGGAAGATGGGAACAAATCTTCTAGAAAACATCAAAGAAGGCTGAACCCCAACATGAAAAAAGTGGTGAAGAAAGAAGTGATCAAGTGGTTAGATGCGGGAATCGTCCTCTCTATATCTGACAGTAACTGGGTTAGCCTGGTTCAGTGTGTGCCAAAGAAGGGTGGAATGACTGTAGTGAAAAATGAGAATAACAAGTTGACCTTAACAAGAATAGTCATAGGTTGGTGAATCTATATGGATTACAGAAGGTTGCACAAGGCTACCCGGAAACACTATTTCCTACTGCCATTCATTGATCAGATGCTAGATAGATTGGCAAGGAGGTCCCACTTCTACTTACTGGATGGATACTCGGGGTATAATCAGATTTCTATTGCCCCGGAGGATAGAGAGAAAACGTTGTTCACTTGCCCTTACGACATCTATGCCTTTCGAAGAATGTCGTTTGGCCTATGCAATGCACCCGCCACATTCCAAAGGTGCATGATGGCCATCTTTACAGATATGGTAGAGAAAATAATGGAGGTCTTCATGGATGGCTTCTCACTGGTGGGGAACTCATTCGATGATTGCCTTATAAACTTTAGAAGGGTATTGAAAAGGTGTATGGAGACTAATCTGGTATTGAACTGGGAGAAGTGCCAACTCATGGTACAAGAAGGTATTGTCTTGGGGCACTTAGTGTCGAGTAAGGGATTTGAAGTGGATCACGCAAAGGTTGATGTGATAGAGAAGTTACCACCACCCACTTCCGTCAAGGCAATAAGAAGTTTCTTGGGACATGTCGATTTCTATGAGAGATTTATAAAAGATTTTTCCAAAATTGCTAACCCTTTGTGTAAATTGCTTGAAAAAGATCACCCTTTTTTGTTTTCTGATGACTGCAGGGTAGCTTTTGAGGAGTTGAAGAAGAGGCTGGTGTCTGCACCTATCATAGTTGCACTCGACTGGGAGCAACCATTTGAGCTGATGTGTGATGCAAGCGACTATGCTGTGGGAGCAGTTCTTGGGCCGCAAAAAGATAAAGTCATGCATCCAATATACTATGCAAGTAGAAGTTTGAGTGGTGCCTAACTAAATTACACAGTGACAGAGAAAGAGATGCTAGCAGTGGTGTTCGCATTTGACAAATTCAGGTCATACCTGATAGGCTCGAAGGTAATTATTTATACTAACCATGTTGATCTCAAGTACCTAACAGAGAAGAAGGAGTCAAAGCCGCACTTGATTCGATGGGTGCTACTGTTGCAAGAATTTGACTTAGAAATTCGTGACCGAAATGGAACGGAGAACCAAGTGGCTGATCACTTATCTAGGCTAGAAAGAGTAGAGAAGAAGGTTGAGGTGGAAGAGATTGTGGAGACTTTCCCGGATGAACAACTGTTGGCCACAAGCCTTGAGATGGAGACATGGTATACAAAAATTGCAAACTACCTAGCGAACGGTATTATCCCCTGTGACCTTTCTTCTGTCCAAAAGAAAAAGTTCTTTTGTGATTATCGCATGTATTTCTAGGATGAACCTTACTTGTTTAGGATTTTTCTTGGTAACATGATCCGGAGATGCATTCCCGAGATAGATCAATCTTCTATTTTGCATGCATGTCATGTTTCACCGTATGGAGGACATTTTAGAGGTGTAAGGACAATGGCTAAAGTGCTAGAGTCAGGTTTTTATTGGCGACGCTTTTTAAAGATGCGCACTTCTGGGTGAAAATTGTGATGAGTGCCAATGGACGGGGAATATTTCCCGTTGACATGAGATGCCCATGAACCCAATATAAGAGGTAGAAATGTTTGATATGTGAGGAATCAACTTTATGGGACCATTTGTGAGCTCATAGATTAACAAGTACATACTTGTAGTGGTGGACTATGTATCGAAATGGGTAGAAGCCATGGAACTTCCAACAAATGATGCGAAAGCAGTTATTGGTTTCCTAAGAAAGAACATCCACCCAATTTGGCACTCCAAGAGCTATCATCAGTGACGGGGGTAACCACTTCTGCAACTGAGCCTTTGCAAAGCTGTTGGAGAAATATGGCGTTCGCCATAAAGTGGCTACTCCGTATCACCCACAAATGAGTGGGCAAGTTGAGGTGTCAAATAGAGAAATCAAGAGTGTTTTGACCAAAACTGTAAATGCTACTCGAACTGATTCGGCGAGAAAATTGGATGATGCGCTATGGGCTTACCGCACTGCATTCAAAACTGTGATTGGTATGTCGCCATATAAATTGGTTTTTGGAAAGGAATGCACTTACCAGTGGATTTAGAGCATAAGGCCTTCTGGGCGTTGCGACAATTAAATCTGAAAGTGGAGGCCGCTAGAACTAGTAGAGTCACAGAGCTGCATGAACTTGACGAGTTTCGGTACCATGCTTTTGAGAGTACAAGGTTATACAAGGAAACAATGAAACTGGTGCACAACAAAAATATTCTTGAGCAAAATTTTAAGCCGGGAAACAGGGTATTATTATTCAATTCGAGATTGAGGTTGTTTCCGGACAAATTGAAGTCAAGATGGTCCGGACCATTTTGTGTGCTAGAGATTCACCCCACCAGAGCCGTAGAGATTGCTGCGGAAGATGACTCTCACAAGTTCAGAGTCAATAGGAACAGGTTAAAACATTATTTGGGCATGGATGACACGAAAGTAGTGGCGGTAACTCATTTGCTAGAGCCACCAATGTTGAGCGAGCCTTAAGTCGATTGCCCGCATCGTGCCGTAATGTTAAATCAGGCACTTCATGGGAGGCAACCCATTGTAATATTGTATTCGTCATGCCGTAATGTTAATTAAGGCGCTCGTTGGGAGACAACCCAATTTGTAGTTATTTTTTGGTGTAGTTAGAATTTTTCTTTTTGTTTTTAGGTACTAACATGTTTGTATGTAATTTCGGCAAGTCGTACAGTGCGCTGCGCGTCGCCTGGTCCCCAGCAAGTTAGGTCAGGCATTAGGACTCACATCGCCTTATGGAAATCTGGCGTGGGAGCTTACCTCGCAAAGGTTAAGGCGAGGTGCATCATGCGTTATACCTAGCGTCGCAGGCCCTCGAGCTTGCTTTGGAGCTCGCCTCGTGAGGGGTAAGGCGAGGTAGCAAGCATGCGTCGCTAAGTAAGTATATTTCTTCGGCTTATTTTAATTTTTCCCTTATTTATCTTAACCCCTCCCTTAAAATTCTAACTTAAACGCCCAAACCCCACTGCTCACAAAACACACCCTTACACACTCACGCAGAACACTGCCAAACCCTCCCCCTTACAACCCCATTGAAGACAAGCAATCTTCTGCTATTTCCTTCACTTGCAACAACAATTCAAAGGCAAATACCTTCTCTTAAACATCTAAGGTATGGTTTCTATCTCCATTCTTTGGCAATTTTGAGTTGGGTGAACGCATGACATTGGACACAAATTTTGGGGTTGTTCTTCATTGTAACAATGTGTTTGTGTGTCCCAACCTCATAGGAATGGTGTTATTATTGTGTGAAAATGTGGTAGCACGAACTCCCAAGTCGATTTGGGAGGGTGAGGCAATCCATCACCCCTACAAGCACTCTCATGGCACTAGTCATGCTAAGTGTTTGTTATAATGCCTCAAAGGCATTCTTTGTCTCCATTGGAGCCCGAGTCTCCGGGATTATATGACTAGTGCTATGTAGTCATGCACCACTTTAAAATATTAAGTGTAGGGTGGCTCACTGGTAGCCCGATGCTTCGAATATAGAGGAAGAACCCATGTGTCATTGCTTGATTCTCATGCTAAGAAACGATGAGGTGAAGTCTGAGTAACCTCAGAAATTGTTGATAATCATGTGTTAAACTCTTAAGTGTGGGGTGTCATGACAATGTTTTAAAAGGTTGCAATACAGCTTAAACTAATTTATGCTCACTTGTCTAGGTATAAATATGCCTCCAAGAAAAGACACTGGTAATGGCAAAGCCACGTCCACTGCTCCATCTTAGGCTAAGGCCACCTCCGCACCTCCCCCGAAGAAGAGAAAAGGAGGGAAGCTATTTCTAGTCAAGCTGAAGGACTGCAAACAGTTGCAGCTATTGCAGCCACCCGTCCACAACCTTAGGGCCAACGGGAATTTGGAATCAAAAGCATACCTCCACATGTTAAGTATTGGTACAAGCGTTGTAGGCCAAAATATTTACATCCTGAAGCTGCTATTCATGAGCGTCGCCTGCAAGCCAAGTACCAAGCTATTTGGAGAGGCATCAATGAGTTGGGGTTGAGCTATGTGTTCCGAAACTCTGGAGAGATCAACGTCAATCTTGTGAGGTAATTTTATGCTGGGTTTGATCCAGAGGATCTTGAATAGCTGGTGCCGATTCGTGGAAGGTTGATAGATTTTTCAGCCTCGGCAATATGCAATTTCTTAGGGGCTCCGGATGTTTCTGGGCAACCCTTGGACCACTTCATAGTCCGTCTTACCTATCGAGAGATGATACACACTCTTTGTGGTGTCAATTTTGTGGCGGCTTGGATGCGGGATAAGAAAACCAACC